TTCCCTCCCGCAGGAGCTACCTGCGCGTCTTTGAGACGGTGAAAGCTGTGAACCAGGCAGCAAAAGCCAAGTCTTGCTCCGAGTCTCCCCACAACGTGCCAGCCTCCAAGCAATTGTCAGCTGCCCCCTCTGGGGGGGCCAGCACCCCCCAAGCTGACTGCTCCGGCTCCGAGGATGCCCAGTGAGTGCCACGGTGGGGGCTGGGGTTGGGATGTTGGTGACATCAGAGCATTCATTGATACTACAAACCAGGGGCAGGGGAAGGGGGGCACGGCTGGAGCTCCCTGGGTCTGGCACAGCACGGGGTGGGGTGTGGGACCATGGACCTGTCCCCCCCTGACTCTGTGCCCACCGTAGGGGCGAGGGGGCTGGAGGGAAGCCCTGGACAGCCCCGGGCCGGCAGGACCTGGAGGCAGCGGTGCAGCGGCTGTCACTGCGGCAGCAGAGCCACGTCTCCCAGGAACGCTCCTTCTTCGAGGCGGAGCGGGAGCACAAGCTGGGGCGGCTGCGGGACGGGGAGAGCTCCAGCGGCTTCCTCACCCCCAACGACAGCGTCGTCTCCACCGGCACCAACTGCTCCGGGGGCTCGGAGATCACCGTGGGCTCCGGCTTCTCCCTCAGCTCCCTCACCTACCTGCCCGACAAGCTGCAGATTGTGAAGCCCCTGGAAGGTGAGGGGTGGAGGGGGCTTCCCAGTGCACCAAGCTGGAGGTGTAGGGAAGGTCCCATGACACCAGCTGAGCCCCCCCCGGCTGTGTCCCCCCCTTCCTCAGGCTCTGTGACCCTCCACCACTGGCAGCAGCTGGCACGGCCCAACCTGGGTGGGATCCTGGTGCCCCGTCCGGGGGTGCTCACCAAAGACTTCAGGCAGCTGGACACGGACCTGGAGGAGGTCTACAACCTCAATGACCTGGAGGAGGACGACGTGGACGCCAGCTCTTTCCAGCTGCTCCCTACCTCAACGCCCACCAAAGCCAAGGAGCGCCCCGGGGGTGAGCATGGGGTGAGGGGATGTGGCCCCTGGGACGCCCCTGCCCCCCTGCTCAGGCTGCCCCTCGCCTTCCCCCGCGCTCTCCCCTCCTGTGCTGGTGGCCTGTCCCTCCGTCCCCATGGGGATGCTCCGTCTGTGGCTGTACGAGGGCTGTTCTCCTGCAGCCGTCCCCCCGTGGTGACCCCTCGCTGTCCCCCCGGCGTGTGCCTGCTGCAGGAGGGGACAAGTCTGGGAGAAACATCATCTCCTGCTCCTGCTTGTGCTCCCAGCCCCCTCCGCTGAGCAAGCACCCGACCCAAATGCTGCTGGAGATGTGCCCCACGTGTGCAGCCTTCTGCTGGCGGCGGCTGCTCACTCAGCTTCAGCTCTCCCTGTGCCCAGAGCCCTGCTCGCTGCCCCTGTCGTGCCCCCCCCCCTTCCCATTAACCCCCTCTCTCCTATCCCTTCCAGTGTTCCTCTCCGCTAACAACCTCCCCCAGACCCCGTCTACCTTCACCATCACCACCTGCCACATCCTCCACCCCACCTCTGAGATCACTACGGTGACACCCAGGTAAGGCGCGTGGCTCCCCCTCCACCGCCTGCACTGCCTGCATCGCAACCCTGTCCCCCCCCCCCAGCCCCTCTCCTTCTCACCCCACACCTGGCTCCCTGCATGGCTGGAGGACGCAGCAGCCAGGGGCCACCTGCAGCCCCTGATGCTCTGAGAGTTGCCTGGCACTTGGAATGTCCCCAAATCTGGCTGCTGAGTGGCTGCGTTCCCAGGGCTCTGTGCCCCCCAGAGGGTGCTGGGACCAGCCCCCCCATACCCCAGGTCTCTGCACTGCAGCACCTTGATGGGGAGAAGAACCTGTCTTGGGCAGAGGAGACTGGGCTCACTCTAGGGAGCAGCTCCCTGGGGGCAGGAGCAGCATTGGCTCCGGGTGCTGATGGGGAGAGGATGTGGATTTCCTCAACTTGGGCATAAATCAGGATTTTTCCCCAGCCCAGGCTGGAAAACTTCCTCCCCCTTAATTAATGAGCCCTGTTGTTTCGCCCTAATGAGCCCCTCCAAGGCTTGTTGGGGGTTGGTGTGAGCTGAGTTCACTGTGCACTGTTAAACAAAAACCTGCATGTTTGGAAAACACTCGTGGATCAGCAGCCACCTCCTAGCTCCTCCTGGGAGCTCAGGGGGGTCATGGCCACAGCCCCCCAACCTGGTGCTGTGACCTTTGAGGCTGCAATCAGGGGGGTCTCCCACAGCCTGAGGCTCGTTAGCTGAATGAGCATGTAGGAAGGGAGAAAGGGGGCTCTGCTCTGCCTGTGGCCCCCCTGCCCCTTGCAGCAGCATCCCCCAGGACTAGGTGCCCCCCACTGACCCTCCCCTTCTGCTTCTCTTCCCCTCCAGTCTGTATAACGCCGTCGTGCCTTCTTGTGGGCCCCTTGAGGGGCTGAGCCTCGGCAGCCCCTCGCCGGAGCCGTCATCCCCCACGGTGGCACCTGGTCCTGGACCCCCGAGCACCCCCGTGGGACTCGTCAGGCTTTTGCAGCTGCAGGGCATCTCCGCCTCGGTGCCAGGGACCAGGTCGTGGTGGGACCCCCAGTGTGCTGACACCCAGCCCTCGCCTGCGGGTGGGGGGCAGGACGGGCCCCCGCCCAGGAGCAGCATCTTCAGCTTGAACCTGGTGGAGAAGTTGCGGCGCCTGGGGCTGGACAAGGTGGTGGCCAGAGGGGAGATGTCCTACGCCCGGGGGGAGCACAGGGGACCCTGGGGGGCACTGACGTGATGGTACTGCAGAGCCTGTGAGCTCAGGAGAAGACACATCCTCCATCCTCTTCATTGCCTGTCCGTGGGGAAATGGAGATGGGATGGGCTTTCAGCCCCAGCCCTGGTGATGCCCTGGAACCCAACAACACTCCCTGGCTGCCAGGGGACAACCCTGGGGAGCCCCAGGACGATGCTCCCCCAGCCCCGTGTCACCCAGCCGTGGGGGTCCCATCAGTAAGGAGCTGCGTGGGGCCATGCTCAGGGCTCTGGGGGGGCCAGCTCACCCTGTCCCCCACTGTTGGGGTACGGACCCTTCACAGGAGCCCGTTACTGGCAATAAAAACTGTTCCTGCTTGTGCTGAGCCTGGCGAGGAGCAGCTCAGCCCCTGGGGGCTCTCTGGGCTGCTGCAGCGAAGGGTGATGCTCAGCCTGGGCTCGGGGGGGGGACCCTCCTCCCCTGGGGTGAGACCTCCCACCCCTGACCAGCACCTGGGCTGAATTTTAAAGGGAATAGTGGTTTTAAACTCTTTTCTGCCCACTAAATAGCAGTAGCAACAGCACCCCTGGCTTGGGGGACACCTGCAGTGGGTGGTTTTTGGGGTGTAGTTTCTGGTCCCCCCCTGACTGCATCCCTCACCCCCAGCCGTGCCCTGTCCCCTCGTCAAATAAATGTGAAGTCACGAAGCAGCTCGTGTGCCATGTCTGCCCCCCCACGATTCTTGGTGGGGCTGGGGACGAATCCCACCAGCCCGACCCCCCTCCAACCTCTTCTCAGCCCAGCCACGAGCAGTAGCAGCCATAGTGCCAAAGCTTTATTGCAGGAAGAGACGTGCACCGAGCGTGCTGGTGCTCTGCGTGGCACGGCCAACCCAGCAGCTACGGGGCATCGACTGAGTCCTCAGCGCTGCGGCGGCCAAAGTCCATCCAGTCGGGGTAGTAGTGGTCGTGCAGGGCATCCATCCCCTCGTCCCTGGGCACGGAGCCCTTGGGGTCTCTCAGCTCTGCTGGGACAAGGGCAGGGGGTTAGAGCTGCCTCGGGCTGGGGGCTGGAGCTGGGGGAACCATGCTGTGGCTCTGCCCACCCTGTGCCTCCCAGTACCTGTGAAGACGTGGGGCAGGAACCGGGAGATGAGGTGTTTCTGCTCCTGGGACAGGGAGTCGGGCCAGTCCCGCCGGACCAGGCTGTTGGGGAGCCGGTGGGGGTCCCCCGCAGCCCCCGGTGCCTCGGCCGCGGGTCGGCACAGGCAGGCGGGCATCAGGATGGCGAGGATGAGGCCGATGCACACCGTCACCTTCATGGCTGTGGAGACAGCGGGTGGGGAAGAGGGGGTTGCAGCCACCAAAGAGGGGACGTGGGCTCAGTCTGCGGGGAGGGGTGACCCTTTGGGGAGCAAGGTGCTCGTCCCCAGGGCACAAATCCCCTCTGTCCCTCCCAGCAGGTCCCAAATTCCCCTCCATCCCTCCCATCTGGTCCCCAGGTGTCATCCATCCCACTTTCCCACCTGGTTCCCTGGAATCACAAGTTGGGGGGTCCATAAGGACCCCAGTCCCACTCTCTGCCCCTCACAGGGGCTGCCTGGAACGAAACCCTCCCTCGCTCCTCGAGCCCTGAAAGGCAGGGTGCTCCTCCCCAGGCATGGGGGGTCCCCACATCCCCTCTATCCCACCCAGCGGGTCCCCAAGTCCTCCCATCCCTTTCATCTGACCCCCAAGTCTCCTCCATCCTCCCAGTGGGTCCCCGTGTCCCCTGGGATGGACTCACCTGCAGCTCCGGGGCTCGGTGGGTGCTCTCTCGGGGTAACGGCGCTCGGTCCCCGCTTTTAAAGGCGCTGCCACCGCTGCCCCACCCCGGGGCGGCTCCACAAACCCCCCCGCAGAACCCACGGGCACACACGTGTGCACACACACACAGAGATATGTATGTGTATAGACACATATAAAAATATTAATTAATGATGATCATAGAATCATTGAATCCCCTATATACATATATACATATATACGTATAGCTGTAGATATAGACATGTATGTATATAGACATGCATATACACACATGTAAATATACATGCACACGCATGTAATGCTGGCTAGAAGTATATCCACATATAGACAGGCACATGCATCCATATACATATGTGGATATAGATGCAGATATACAGGTACTTGTATATATGGTGGTATATATGGGTATATACTTGTATATATGGGTACTTGTATATATGGATATGGTCATACATAGCTACATACGCACACGCATGTAGAGCTTGCTAGAAGTATATCTGTATATACAGATATAGACAGGCACATGCATCCATATACATATGTGGATATAGATGCAGATATACAGGTACTTGTATATATGGTGGTATATATGGGTATATACTTGTATATATGGGTACTTGTATATATGGATATGGTCATACATAGCTACATACGTAGCTATGTAAATTAACACAGGACATAAGTGAATTTAAATCTCAGCAGAGCAGCTGCAAGGTACTTGGCCTTAGTTGCACGGATGTATATAGAAGGGTATAGTTATTTATCCAGCTGAACATGTACCCCCCTATACATACCTACCCATACATACATAGTTAGAAATATTTACATATAGAGTCCTGTGCACGCAGCTATTTATGCATGTAGATACATACACACCTGTATATAAATAGCTATAAGATACAGCCGTAGCTGCTGAGGTCTCTATAGATGTACACACACAGCTGTAGATCTAGACAGAGCTATAGGGCAAGAGTTGGGGGGGGTGAGGGTGGCAATTGGCCCCCTGGGGTCAGTTTGTCTGTCTGTCACGGCTATAGCTATGTCTAGCTGTACATGAAGGTATAGCTATAGATACAGAGATATAACTGTTAGTGATCCATATAGATGTGCTCACACCTATTTGCATATAAAAGTGTGTGTACCTATGGATGGAGCCTACATGGGACAACTGACCATGGTTCTGTGCGTGCATATATAAATGTATAGCTGTGTGTCTGTGCCCCTCCCCAGATAATAGCCATAATGGATGGCAACTCTATGGGGCACGTGTATCTTGCTGTGTAAAAACCACATCACTATCTGCAGCTATAAATAGATATATTTTTTATATATATATATACACGCACATATATATAAAAAAAGACAGTTACAGACATTGATAGAGAGATTGGGGGGGGGGTGGGGGTGTGTGCATGCATGTGCTTCTGTACATCTATATGGATGGAGAAGCAGTATATCTGTATATTTATAAAGACAGTGATCTGTCTACTTATCTGTCCCTGCCCAGAGCAGGGTTGGAGCTGGATGGGTCCCTTCCAACTCTAACCATTCAGTGATTCTATGATATAGGTATTACTATATTTTATAATAGACTGTGTATGCAATTACATTATATGCTATTTAATGTGTTATCTAATAAACAGTGACTATACACGCAATATATAGCTTTCTATACAATATAAAATATGAATCACATACACAATGTATGTAATTGTAGTAGATAACAGTGTGTCTTATGCCTCTATCTAAACACACACGTGTATTCATACATGTACCTATGGCTACAGACACGCGTGTGCAGATATTTGTGTTTATAGGGCTGGAGGGGACAATTCACCCCAGAGAGTGTGTGTGTTTGTGTGTGTGTGTGTGCACACGTGTGGCTCCGTGTATCTATGTAGATGTGTGGCGAGTGCATGGGGCAATTCTCCCCAGTGCATGCACACGTGTGTGTGTGTGTGTGTATACGTGTACCTATTGATGTACATACATCTAGCTGTGGCTGGCACCAGTTGAGGTGTCTTTGCCCCCACAAACATTGGCTCTGGGGGACCCTCCCCAGTGTCACAGGGGTCCCCAGGACACCCATCCCAGAGCAGCCCATTTCTGCAGCTCTGCATCCCTCACCCCAAAATCTCTGGGGCGCCATGGGATGGGTGGGCACAGCCTCTGGCTGGGGACACGATGCCCACCCCAGGACCATAAGTAACACAGCCTGCCCCAGTGCCCCCAGTAAAGCCCCATCCACTGCCCCCGGGCTCCTCATTCAATATCGACCGGTCCTCTCGCCCGTATTTACCCTCAGCCTGTTGTGTTTGTGGAAAACATTTGTCCCCCTCCTTCAATAACACCCGTGTGAGCGCGGTGTCACGCATCAGGCGCACGTCGCTCCCCGGAGCTCCTCAAACAACCCCAAAACAAATGGGCTTTGAATGGGCAGGAGGGCAGCGGCGCCCCGCGCCCCGCAGCCATCGATCCCTCGCGCCACACAGCGCTGTTTCCCGAGGAACAAACAAATCGTTTTGTAATTTCTGGTTTTTAATGGCTCACTCTGGGCCAAATGAGCCGTCAGGGTGACGGGGACACGGCGGTCGCTTCCTCCAGCTCGATGGGCTCAGCAGCCCCTTGACGCAGGTTTTGCAGCCCGGCCCCCGGGGCTGGTCCCTGCTCCCGGGGAGGATGCTGAGGTCCTGCTCTCCTGGCAAGGGGATGCTGAACCTCCTGCTTGGGCTTGGTGGGCTACAAGCCACCCCAACAGGGGCAAAAACCCCCAAACGGCCCCGGTGCAGGCAGGGGGAGCTGGATTTTGGGAGCAGAAGCAGAGCAGTGACTGCGCCACATCGGGCTGTGGCACATATACCCGTCCCCGAGCGAGTGCCAGCTCCTGGGAGCAGCCAGGGCTCGTCCCCGGTGCCTCGGTGCACTCGCAGGTGCTTTGCATAATTGCCGTAATTTGGGTTCCGAGAGCAAAGTCTCTCCCAGGAGAGAAAGTCGATGGCAGTGAACCCGGGTGCTCCTCTCGGGGCAGCGGGGCAAAGGCAGGAGGGCTGCGGGGGGCAGGGGACAAACGGGGGGAAACACAGGGACCGCCTGCACTTCCCTACAGGTTTTAGTACATTTGGTGTTGCTCTTCCCCAGAAGGCGCTTCCTGGCCCCTGTAACTAGAGCTGCTCTAAAAGGGCATGTTTTACCCCAAAGTGATGTTGTTCTTGCTCCCTGGGGGGGTCCAGTCCCCAGCCCAGGCTGGACTTGTGGATAAGCCCAGACACAGTGACAGAGGCCACCTCACAGCACCACAGACGTGATGACAGAGGCCACCAGTGACAGAGGAGTCTCCTCTGGTCCTTGCAGGAAGCAGAAGTGCTGATGGCATCAGGAACAGCAGCACAAGGCCCAGGGGAGGGTGAAGGAACTGGGGAACTAGGAACATTCCCACAAGGGTAATGACTCACCACCCACACCCCTCAGGCCCTTTACGGCACCGGGGGCTCCCCATCCCTGTGGGGGCACAGGGGGGGCTCCCCAAGACCCCCCAGAGCTGCACTTCCCACCCGGCTCCGGCTCCTCAGCCAGCCAGCATCACCCCCTGCAGAAAGCAAAGCAAAACACAAAACCCAATCCACCAGGCAAATGCTTTTGAAAACCATTTTTATTTAAATAAGACTTTTAAATACATTACATAAAACATTAAAAATGAAACCAAAGAGTCTGTTACTTCACAGGGCATCAGGCAGCAGGTGCCGGTGACACGCACGCTCTGCAGCTCTAGCTACAATCCTTACATTAGTCCAAAACTCATCCCTTGTCACAAGTTTAACCCAAGGCAGCGGTTCCTTCCATGGCCCCAGCCCGGTGCCCGGGGGTTTGAGGGGTCCCAGCACCCGCCAGGCCCCCACCTGCCAACATCCAGCCCCCCAAGTCGCTCTTCCCTCACTCCTCGTGTTCGGCGTCACGCGTCCCCGGGTCCCTCTGCCACCAGGAGCCAACACGGCCCAGAGGGAAGGCGCCATCTCCCCGCGCTGCGTCACGGCTCACCGTGGGTGCCTCGCTCCGTGCGGGACAGCGGGAGGACAGGAGCGATCCGACAGTGGCTGGGCTGACGGGGAAGAGTCCCTTGGTTTAACTTGGGCCATCCAGTTACTCGGAGCTCCAGGCTGGACCGTGCCAAAACGCCCGATTTACCTCTGCGAAATGAGGGACAGCCAGACGGGATAGCATGGGCTCGTGTCAGTTTATTACATCACTGAATTACACTAGTCCAGAGTGAACAGTGGACCCAAGATCGTTACATTACACAAACCGGCTGGTTTTAAACTTATGACAAGGGACAGATGGGAATCTCATGGTAAGGAAATCTTCTTGCATAAAGCTTCGGTGAGCCACAGGCACTTAAAACCCATGGACTTTCAGCTGGTCGTCTTTAGCCAGTCCAATCTGCAAGAAAGAAAATGCACTTTACAGCACAGCAAAGCAGAGGCACCCGCACGCATCCGTGTGCCCCCGACGCTGCAGACACCGCAGAACCAGTGACGTTCTGCTCCCCCCTAAAGCACAGGATGAAGATTAGACCGCAGCTGCAAAGCCCTGCCAGGCAGCGTTTGCCTCAAGCAAGAATTTCAGGAAGAACAGAAAGAGCTTCCTCTGCCGGCCTGCTCTTCCAACGCTAAGGAAATTAGACCCTGGGTGGTTATTAAAAGAGAGACTGGTGTTTAGCCGAAGACGCACGCGCCGCAGAGTGGAGCAGCCCTACCTCTACGAGGAACTGGCATATGTTCTTGCGCTGGTCGCCCTGCAACTGAATCACTTCTCCATACTCGGGGTGCTCAATTACAGTACCATTGCAGGCGAATTTCTGGAAGAGAAGAGACAATCCTCCTTAGCACCACACAAATCCGGGATGTCACCCTCACAGACGGCAGCACCCCCACCCCCTACCTCTGCTTCCCCCCCACGGCACCCACCTTTTTGAAGGCCTTCACCAGTTTCTTTTTATCGTAATCATCCGCGATGCCCTGGACTGTGGTGAGGGTCTTCCTGCCGTTCCGCTGCTGGATCCTTATATGGATGTAGTCCTCAGTGCCGGCAGGGAGCAGGTCATCACCCTTACTTGCATCAGCAAAGGGGTCTGCGGAGAGACCGCCCGTCAGCCCCCGGCCCCGCGCTCCCCATTGGCCAGCCCGCCCGTCCGTCACGCGTAGGGCCCGCCCCCCGGCCCCGCTCTCTCCCCCTTCCGC